TTTGGGCAGAAATCTTTAAAGAATATACTGGAAAACAATACAAATTTTTTAAGAGAGAAGGGAAATGGATTCCCTGGAGCTGAAGATTCAGCTTTGTTCCCAAGCACCCAGGAAAAGCTTTGTTAAGGAATAAACCACGGGAACCACTTGTGCCTTTGCCATCACTCATGAGAGAGCAGGGAATCTTTTCCCTGGAAAACTCTGCCCTGAGTTTGTCCAGAATGGATAAGGAACATCTCCCTCAGAAGGTTTCATTTCCAGGCAGGGACAATGGGGCGACCACAAGTCACAGGTCCAACACGCTGCTCCTGGGGAAACAGAAATGGATTTTTGGACCATTTGGGACTATTAAAAGACAAAAAGAAGAAGGTTGAGTAAGTTTAGAAAGGAAAATAATGAAAATTACCTCAGTGTCTGGCCATTACCAGAGCTGATGTCACGGTGTTTATTTGCTTTCATGCTTTTAGGGGACAACGAGGTAAATTAGAGACATGAAGATGAGGTGACTGGAGAGGCTGAATAGCAGGAAAATTTCTCCCTCTGATCCCAGGTGTGATCCCAAGCATTCCAAACCACAGCCCTTGACCTGTCCCTTCAGCTGACAGGAGAAGCTGAAGGTTTAGCAGGCAGTGCTCACTGCACACACAAATTCCAGGACACAGGGCAGATATTCCTTAAGTAAGAGCATCTTGAAGGAAAAAAATCAGGAGCAAAAATCCAGCCTGGAATCAACAGATTCCAGCATGGATGCCAGATGTGGAAACATGGCTCGGCCACTAAATTTAATTGGTGCACCAGAAGATGTGGCCTTGAAGGAATTTAGGGACCAAGAGCTCTTCTGCTTCAGGTCAATGGATCGTCTTCCACAGGGACACCTTTCCTGGAGGCAGCTGCTTCCAGGCCTTTCCAGGTGACCTGTGCTGTGAGACAACACCGTGGTTGCACCCAGAGCTGGAGTTTGAGGGTAACAAGGACCCCCAATTTTGGTGAGGACTCGTGTCCAGAACTTTGGATCCAGGGCCTTTGGGTGCTGGAATTCTGATGAAGGATAATGGTGGAGCCCTACATCTACCTCACAGAATCGCTGAGGCTGGAAAAGATCTTTGGGATCATCGAGTCCAAGCTGTGCCTGATCCCAGCCTTGTCCCCAGCCCAGAGCAGGGACTGACACCTCCAGGAATTCCTCCAGGGAAAGGGATGGGACAGGGAAAGCGATGGGAGCTCCTCATCTCTCACTGTCTGATCTCCCCACACTAATGCAAACTTCCCAGTTTTTCCCTCTGTGCCCAAAGCAATACATTTCCAGGGAAAAGGCAGCTGCCCTCCCTTCTGCCAAGTGGAGAAAAATTATCCCATTCCAGCTGCATTAGAGACCAGGACCTCGGAATTATCCCATAACACAGGAGCCATTAGCTGAAACAATATAGGTAACAGGAGGCTTGTCACATCCCAAACACGGCTCCAGGAGCTCATGAAAGGATTGTAAAGGCAAAATTATTTCGTTAATTTAAGACTACGGCTGCCTGACTCTCTCCATAAAGAATCCATGGATCCAGCGCCTGGGGCAAATTAATAATGCTGGGATTTGCCTGCTAACAGAGCAAAGAAAACTGATTTGAAAGTATTAAAATAGGAAAATACCCTGGGAGCGCTCTCATAGGGGAATTAAGTGGTAAAGACTCTCCCATCCCTGTTTGTGATCTTCCACCCTTGCTCATCAGCCAGGAGAGGCATGGAACCATCCCAGAAAATGCCTGGGATCGGTCATGAGGAGCAGGGAATGAGCTCTCAGTCCTGGAAGTGCTAGACATAGAACATTACCCAAGACTAATGGACAAAATTCCCTGTCCTGAACGTGTTGATGGCCCCATCTGTCACCTCAGCCTCGTGCACTTCCCTTATCCAAGCCAGCACATCTGTACAGCCCCATTCCACTGGAAAAGCCAACCAAGGAATGAGATTTACAGGGATGTTTTCGGGCCGGCAGCACACGGAGCTGTGGCTCAGTCACGTCAGGGCTGAGGGGCTGTTTCTTCTCTCACCTCCTCTGCCCCTGCTCTTGCCACCAAAATCCACAAAATCCAAGGGGAAAAATGGGAAATGTTTGTGAAATCCCTTTGCAGTCTGCAGGGAATGATGTGGCCAGGTTTATCCGCTCGTTCCCACAATGCAGTTGGGATTTGGGCTTCATTAATGACTTTAATGAGGAATTTGATACATATTTCATTTATTAGAATTTGGAGTCCCACTGCACTGAGTCATCACTGCAATTCCTGGAGTGCCTCTGGAAGGAACAGCAGAGGTTCATGGTGCTGATCCAAACCAAGAAACCCAAAAAATCAAATGTTTTTCCTTAGACAAGTGTAGCAGTGAGGGACTGCAGGAGGATCACGGGATCTCCATCATGAATTTTTTTCTGGAAGCAGGATATCAACCAGGATCAATCCGTGATCCTTTCTAGGACAGGAAAATGAGCCAGGAAAGATCTTTTCCTTCTGTGTGTTTTCCTTGTGTTCTGCACCTGTATTTTATGTCCAACAATCTCATCAATCCAGCTCAGGAGATTCCTTTCTCTAGAATCACAGGAATTTAGATCCTGTGGCTGTGTTTTCCCTCCAAATCCTTGAGTTTAGCTGTTTAAGCCTAGAAGTAATTAATAATAATAACAATAACAATAGTAAAAATAATAATAGTAAATAACCTCAAAACTTTGGTTAGTGCAAGGTTGGATAATCCCAAGGCAGAAGGTTGGAAATTGTAGCTGGAAAGGGGCCCAAATCCCACAGGTCACACCCACCCCAAAGCATGGACTGATTTCCAGGATGCATCCCAACAAATCCGTAAGGAGAAAGCCTGAGGGAAAAGCTGAGTCCGAGGGCAAACATTGGGCTTGGAGAGAGGAGGAGATTATTTGATTCATCCCTAAATCCTCTCTCATATCCAGACAGAAAACATTGTCCTTCCAAATCCCACCAGTTCCCCTGTGCAAAGTCTTTTTCTCACTGTTTTGGGATTGAGCTGTTGAGATGTCAAAAATCATCTCTAAATGTAGCACTGGGATCCTTTTCCAGGAATATTCCTTGGGAATGAGAGCAGGACCCACAAGCAGCTGCTGCAAACACCCAACTCCTGCTTCTCCCTTTTTCCACCCATGCACCCCAGCTGGGGCACAGGAGAGGGGATGAGGATCAGCAATTTGTTTTCCTCAGAAGTGTGGGAAACATCTGTCCAATCTTTCCATAAAAAACTGTGGAGATTGCCCAGATCAATCTCTCCTGGTGCTGAACCTCACTGAAATAACCAAGTAACTCCAGAGTTACTCCACCACCTCATAACCAGTTCCATCCCGTTTTTTACTCCACCTCTGTGAAAAACAGCAATTAAGACCTGATGGAAATTCCAAGTATCCTCACGCTTCAGTCTGGATATCACACTCCCCTCCCTGACATCTCCAGAAGAAGACAAAGAAGGAAAATCTGCCCTGCTGCTATTCCCAGTCTCATTTTCTTTCAGCATAAATAGGACCTGTTCCCATTTAAAATGGTTTTGGACCTAAAATGTTCATTCTCTCTCCATGTGCTGCAGCCAAAAGCCTCAAAACCACAATTTCCACTCTGATTACATTATCCCCCTTCCTGATTCCCACAGATGGAAAATACCCTGGATTTGCAGTTTACCAACTGTTTGTCTGTCCCTGGGAGAAGCCACAAAACCTCCTTGGCAGGGAATGGGGAGGTCACACCTGAGAGCGCTTGAAGCTGAGCCCACCGAAGGAGGAAAACTGCAGAACTGAAGGATTGGATTTGGGAATTCCGTCCCTCAAATGCTGCAGTCCTGTGCAGGTGTCCTGGCTAAGCAGAGCTGAGAAATCAAGGAAAAGATGCTCAGATCTTTCTGAAGCTGAAATGGAGAATTCCCTGTCCTGCTGAGCACAGGGGACACTTCTGTGCTAAAAAAATGAGGGTGCATGTTAAAAAATGAGGGTGTTGGATGCGCTGTCCCAGTCCCAACAGTCCTAACCACAGCTGGGAGAGCAGGAAGAGGAGCCCAGGGAAGGTGAGGATTTGTCCTTTCCTCACTTTTCCCTCCACTCTTCTCACTTTTTCCCACCTCCTCTCCCTTTTCCCTCTGCCACGGTCCCACAGCACCGAGAACTAATTTAGTGCCACAACAGAAAATGTTATTTATTCATTTCCACTACATCTGTGCTTCTCTTTTATTGAGTTCCTTATTTTTAGTGCTCTCCTGTTTCTCCTCCAGGGCAGGTAGATAATTGTTCTCTATCTCTCTGTAATTGCAGCAAATTCTCATTAATCAATACAACACCAGGCAGGAATTTCCTGATGAAATCCTGCTTTAGTTGACACCTGAGCTCCTGAACCACTACAAGACAAACCTAATTATCTCCTTGGCTAAGTGAAACCACACACTTTGGAAATCAAAAGCTCCTTTTCAGCTGAGTCCATTTAAAGGATGGAAGCTGGGATGAAAGGCCCAGACAGAGCACTTCAGACCAGGCTTGATGCCTTTAGAAGAAGCAAAACCTGGCTTAGGAATTTAACATTTTCAAGCCAAAAATCTGCCTGGTTAGAAAGTGTAAGATGGGAAATTCTGTAATTAAGAGCTGTTTGAGCACATTGGTGATTTACTGGAGTCTTGCATCACTTTCATTCCCATGGAAAAGTTGTGTGTGTTACACAGGAAACCGGAGCTTCTCTGTGTCCTTGATCTATTTCGCAGCCCAAAAGCAGAAATTTCCACCTGTGGAAGTTCATGAAAGGATTCTGGAACAATCAGGAACTGTGCTAATCAAGGAATGATTTAAGCTGGAAGATAAAAATACCTCGCTCTGCCCCCTGGTCAGGGACAACTTCCATTACCCCAGGTGGCTCCAAGCCCATCCAACCTGACCTTGGACACTTCCAGGGATGGAACATCCACAACTTCTCTGGGTAACCTGTTCCAGTATCCTACAACCCTCCCAGGCAGGAATTCTTTCCCAATATCCCATCTAACCCTGCTCCCTTTCAGTCTGAAGTCATTCCCCCTTTTCTGGTCACTCCATGCCTTGCAAAGCCACAGGAGTGATGGATAAATCCTGGCACAGATTTGAGAGCATCCTCCCTTTTTACTGGAGGACAGGGGTAGATCAATCCCCCTCAGGAGCACAGTGTCCCACGGATTTTTAGGGATTTCAGTAAAAATTGTGCCAGTACAGTGTAAGGATGCTTCCCACCCGTAGGAGAAGCCACACCCGGCTGCAGGAGCTCTCCAAGGTACCACGGAGAGCCGAGGCCAGGAGCTGCCCGAGGTTTCCACATCCTTCTCCACACTCCCGGGAAACTACACAGCACAAACTGGGAAAACACTCCAATAAAATCAGAACACGGCCCTCTCCCCACCCCAGAGCTCCCTCGTTCCACTCAATAAAGAGAAAAGTGCAGAACAGATCAGGACAAAGCAGCAGCTGTCAGCTGTTCCCGAGGCACCGCGATGACAAAAATATCGTTTTGTGTTTTGCAGGAGGATTTTCCACGAGACAGACACTTGCTCAGAGCTTTAAAACCTCATGGTGTTACAAGAATTTGTGATCCTGATGCACTCCAGGAGACAGAGGAATAAATAAAAACTCTCCAGAGCTTTTCCATGTTAAATCTCTCTCGCTCCTCTCTCGCACAGCTATGGAACATTAGGAAGGGAGCACCCGTGGAAAAGCACCTGCACAGCCCATTCCTGCTCTTCCTCATTTTATTGTGCACCAATATCCTGGGTGGGCAAGAGGGAAGCCTTCACCTGTGGGATACAAACAAACAAACCCTGGTCCAGCCAGAGCCAAAAAAATTCCAGGCTCTGGAGCTGGAAACACAGCCCCAAAGAGGCCGATTCAGGCTGGAATGGCAACTGGAGGACTGAGGTCACAGCAACTCCTGTGCCAGCCACAACTCTTCCAGCAGCTTCAGTTGAGGCCCAGAGAAGCCACAATTCCCACCAAACCCACCCAAGAGGGAGAAGATCCCAACTTGGAAGCAAGGGAAAACCCTCAGTTCCCACAAAACAGGCAAGGCCAGGTAGGGACAGTGATGGCAGAAGAAATGGAGATACTTGGACAAGGAAATACCTACAAATCAGAGTCCATGAACAGGTGGGATCCAAAAAAATCCCCCTTCCTGGAGACCAGACCCAGATCATTCCAAGGACAACTCACAGGGAGGTCAGCTTGGGGTCAGCACCCCATTTCTTATCACAGAATCCTGGAATTGTTTGTGTTGGGAAGGATCTAAAGTTTGTCTTGTTCCACTTCCCTGCTGGATTCTGAGACAAGGCACTGCTGCAGCTGCTTCCCAGCCCAATGTCTGCTCTTCCAAAAGCTGATATTCCACCAGAAACTCTCCAGCAATGACCTGGAATTTGCCTTCCATGCTCCCCTAATGATTATACAGCAAACCAAGCAGGGATGAAGGAGATGAAAGAGGCCCAAGCAAAATAAAACAACAAAAAATTATTCAAGGCTGAAAATACCTCCCAGAAAAAAACATCCCAGTGACTACAATTCCCATTTTACCTGGGTTTGGATGGGATAACTTGACCTGAGGTCACCAAGAGCCCAGGTGAGTCCTTTCTTTGTGGTCCAGAATAACAAAGGAGCGTCCTGGCTGCACCCATGGGTGGAGCCCCAACTCAGCCTCTTCTCCTCAGCTGCATCCAGGATTATTTGTGGCAAGAGGCAAAATGACAAAATAAGGAAAGTGACACAATTAAGGCTAATTAGCTGAGTGGGAAATCCCTTCCCAGCCAATTAGTGCAGAGGGGCAAGGCCTCCACAGTAACGAGGCTGTGTTTAGCTGTTCTCAGCTCATCCCGCTTCCAGAAATGAGAAGGCAAAGGAAGAGATTGTGTTTCCATTAAAAATAATTGCATAATGAGGATTGTACCAGCCGTGGGGAGCTGAGAGAGGAATTGGGCTCACATTCCTCTGGATAACCCCAAAAATGCTCTTTCCACAAGACGAGGATGGAATAGGATTTTCATCCTATGGACCTGTCTTGTAAAGCTGAAAAAAGCTGGGCAGCCCGGCAGCAAAAATTCCCATCAATCACATCCCCAAAAACCATGCAAACTCATGTTTAGGGAAAGTTTCCCAAAACACAGACATTCCTTCAGACCTTTTGATGGGAGTTCCATCCAACCTGTGAATTTTTGGGCATCTCATCACCACCAGCAGATCTGTGGGATCATCACTTAAAGCCCAGAATTGCTTGTTGTTGGTGCCTTCACCACGTTCCTCATCACAACAGAAGGAGAGAGTGCCAGTGTCAAAATATCTGAGTATCCCACTGGATAATTCATTCCCAGGGAGAGGCACTGAATCCATCACGGAAATTGCCTCCAAAGGACACTTTCCCCTGAGCAGGGGTGATAAAAGTGGCTGGAAAGAGGGAACAAAGTGTCAGCATCTCACTTGGAGAGGTGAAAGCAGAGCTGACAGTGCTGTGATTTATGGAGAGCAAGGCCTATTTGGGGAGAGAGCCGGAGCTGTGCCAGCAGGGCTGAAATCCTGGGATTCAGCTCCGCTCCTCAGCCAATTGCAATATTTTATAAGTGGAAGAGATAGGCACTGACCTTCCACTTCAGAGGTTAAAATTGTTTCTGGGTTGAGGCTTTTAAAAAACAAAAAGGCAGAGATTTGTCCATTTGTTTGGATATAAAGCACCCAAGATCTTATCTCCGGCCTCACAATTCACTGTGAGGAAATTCGGGTGGGAAGATTGAAGAGCACCGAGCCTGCACTCCCAAATAATCATTTAGGAGCTCAGGGTTCACCTTGACCTGGAATATTCACCCAGGATGATGGGAGATTAAACGCCAGGCTGCTCCAGACGTGCTTCCCCCTTGGATGAGCCTGTTGAATAAAGATATGTTGAATATTCCCACCTCAATGAAGTATTCCTGAAAATTATTATTATTATTATTACTATTTTTTTTTTTTTTTTTTTTTTTTTTTTTTTTTTTTTTACTATTCAGATCCCAAATTCCCTGGGATCTCATCCAAGCTGTACCTGTGCCCTCAGCCTGGAGCTGGTGGGAACCCAAAAGAGAAATCAGGCTTTTCTGGGGTAATCCTGGGGACAAGACTCCCATGAAGGCATTAAGGGTGTAATTCCTTCATGATTTTGTGTCAGTTTATTGTGCCTTTTCCTTTGGTCTATTCCCAGCTGTGGAATAACCTGGAATAAACCAGTCCTGGATGTGGCTGAGGCAAAGCAAAGCACATCAAGCTGTGATTTCAGTCCAATGGCACCAGGGGAGAACCTCAGGGTGAAGAAGTCACAAATCCCACCCCAGGCTTCTCCCAGATGGACTTTGAGAGATTCATCCTGGCTGAGGTCATTTGGTACACAAGGAATGTCTCAATTCCATGGATTCCACTGGAGAAAACACCTGTGCACCCATGGCTGGGCTCCATCTGCAGAGGACTTTGGAAGCTGGAACAAAAATGTGATCCTGGCTGTCTCCAGGACACTTTTCTGCAGGGCTGTCCTGGTAAGAAGGAAGAAAAGTGTTTTTAAGCAGCCTCCTTAAGGGACTAAAATATCCCATCACTGGATCTTTATGTTTGGCTGCTGTTGGACAATTCCCAGAATGGATTTCAAATGGATTTAAAACTGGTTGGGGCAGTGGCAGCTTCAGTCCCAATGTTCTCCTGTCCTGGGCAAGCTGCCTGTGGAACATCAGGGTGGAAAAGGTGCAGATCTCATTCAGGCTCTGCGCAGGAAATTCCTTATGGATCAGGAGCTGGCAGGGTGGATGGCAGGATATTGGTGCCAGAGGATTTTTTGTAGGAGAGAGGAGCTCACACTTCATCAGAAGTAAATTTGCGTCAAAATTGGGTGCTGTGGAACCTAAATAGAAACCAAGGAATCAGAGAACCATGGAATATCCTGAGTGGGAAATCATCAGGATCATCCAGTCTGACTCCTGACCCAAAGCTCCTGGAGCTCTGGCAGCCTCAGAGCTGTGCCCATTCCCTGGGAAGCTGATCCAGTGCCCAGCACCCTCTGGGGGAAGAGCTTTCCCTGATATCCGACCAAACCCTCCCCTGGCACGAGATATTCCTGACAAGGTGGTGAGGAAGGGGCTCTTCCCTAAATGTGGGATCAAAGAAAATTTGGGCTATGAGGCAGGAGGTGCCTTGAGACAGATTCCCACAGCGACCTATCCCTGGGGAATTCCTGGGATACGCTCCAACATGACAGAGAATCGTCTTTATCCTCTCCACACTTCACCACTCCCCGTTTCACCCTCGCCCTGGAGGAGGAGGAGGGAAGATCCAAGATCCATCACTTGAATATTTACAAACCAGGTAGGAAAAAGTATCAAGTTCCGGCCCCTTCATCACTTTGGTGGTGACAAGAGTTAATGGTCCCTGAAGCTTTCCCAGCAAATGTTCCTTGTCGGGCCATTTTCTGCACATCTCTGTGATGGATGGGGAGGAGAAGTCACTTTATGACAAGCCTGCTCAATTATTTAATAAGGCAGATTCTAATAACTTCAGGAAGTCCCCCGGAGAAATGGAAGAATAAATACACTTTTCCTTTCATTCTCTCAAGAGCTGGAGAGGAAAAATGGACTGTGGCCTCTTTCACCACCTGCCAGCTTTGTTTCATGGATTTTGTTGTGGTTAACTCCCCATTTCTGGCTTTTGGGACAGCGAGTTAAAATACTAAATGAAAATCAGGGATTTTTGTTGTCGTTGTTTATATTAAAATACTCAAGAAAAGTTGCTGTTGTGGGCTCAGTAAGCTCAGCAAGTCTGAGGGACTCTTCCTTTCTTTCGGTCCTTCTCACTTCAGATTATAACTTTTTTGGGATGGTGGTCAGTGCTGAGGGTCTGGGAGTCCCTGAGCTCCACAGGCCCTGGCAGGCAAAAGCTCTTGTGCTCATTCCACTACTCAGAACTCCAGAACTGGATTAGGTCTGGAACATTCCAGAGTCTTTTCCCATGAAACCAGCAAATCAAGGGATTTAAGAAGGACCCAGGGGGTTGATTTGCAGGAGCGGTGCAGCCTTCCACACTGCACCAAAAAATCCCACTGGATATGAAGGAAAAGTGAGTCTCCCAGATCTTTCTACAGCTGCTTAAAGAGAGCTGTGCATTTGGAATAAAATCCTGGAATGGTTTGGGTTGGAAGGGGCTGAAATCCCATCCCATTCCACCCCCTGCCATGGGCAAGGACACCTTCTACAATCCCAGTTCTCCTGGGACAGTTCCAGAGATCCAGGGGCAGCCACAGCCTGGGAATTATATTCCAGGGCCTCCCCACCCTCACAGGGAAGAATTCCTTCCCAAAACCCCATTTAAACCGACTCTCTGTCACTTTGAAGCCATTCCCCTTTGTCCTGTCACTCCATGCCCTTGTAAATCCTCCGGGAGCGTGGGTCAGCCTCAGGCCAGGGCAATTACAGGGATCAAAAAAATCCCACATTTGGCTTCCTTTTTTCCTTTCCTTCCCTTCCCCCTCCCTCTGGAGCAGCATCCCATTAGCAGCAGCCCCCCTTCCTCAATTTTGCACCCCCAGAAAGTGGAGTGTGATTGATGCTGGGCTCTGTCCAGCAGCTCTGGAACATCCCTCTCCATCTCCTGGAAGAAACACCAGGCTTGGCACGCCAGGAGCCGGCACCATAAATCTGAGCAGAACACAAAGTCGCTCGCGCTAAGCCAAGGACACCTTCAGCTGTTCCTGCTGCCTGTCCAAGAGCCATTTGCTGCCCAGCCTTTCCCTGCCTGCTCGAAAAAGCAGGAGCTGGGAATGCTAAATGGTTAATCCAGACTGTTTGGGGAAGATCTGTCTCCACAAATGTTGCACCATCTGCTGCTCTGGGGAAGCTGGAGGAGTGGGTGCTGTATTTTCATAACAATCCGCCCTTCTCCTCTCATTGATTAATAACACCGAGCTGCTTTGTCTTTGTTCCTTTGTAGGTTTTTTTGGTTTTGGTTTTTTTTTTTTTTAATATTTGTATGAAGGCTTTGCAACATGAAATCCAGTAATTATCTGAAGAGCTGAGTCAATAGGTTTGTTCAGGCAGAGAAATTACCCATTAAACTGAACAGGAAAAAGCCTCATGAAAAACATCTCTGCACCAGTCCCAAGATGACCAAAATCCTCTTTTTTTCCCCCCCACCAGTCCAATTTTCCCCCACCAGGTGCCTTTAAAAGTGAGGATTCCATCACTGAGGAGCTGCTGTGGAAAACACTGAACCAGCAGCTCGTATCCACCCAAAATCCTGGGAAGTGGAATTCCACCATCCCAAAGCCCACAGTGAGGACCAAGCCAGCAGGAGACATCTGGAGCCTGCTCCAGGAGGGGCAGCAGAGGCTCTGCTCCTTCTCATTCCCCCTCTTCCACTCCACAAAATTCCCAGAGCAGCTGGAGGAGCTGCTGCAAAGCCGTGGGGTGTGAAAGGAGCTCGGAACACCAACCTTGGAGCCTTCATTTGGGGATGTCAGGCACGGAAGAGCTGCAGAGGGAACAAGGCACAGATCCCAAAGCAGGAGATGTGGGTGCTCCACCTACTTCCAGCAGTGGAATGGAACGGAAACTCCTGGATTCACTTAAATACACTAAAAATAGAGGAAAAGATTGCTTATCCCTGATATTAACTGAATTGAGAGTGTATCTAAGAAATGTCA